CTTGGAACCCACAGTACAGTACAGTATTTGTATATACAGACATATTTGTATTTGTATATACAGACATATATTTAAACACACGTACACTGTGGCCTGAGGGTAACATAATGGCTATTACATAAATATGCATATCCAAAGGAAAGATAATTATGTTAATTTCATTGTATATATTCATGAATTTAGAAATTGAGAAAAGATAATATTACAATACATGCATATTTTAAAAATTTTATAGAATCGTCTAGATCAGCAGTTCTCAACCTGTGGGTTTTCAACCCACAGATAATATCTCAACCCACAAAGATAATAGGTTAAGAACCTCTTTGTAACAATGAAAATACATGGTGGCATTAGGAAGGTTGAGAACCATTGATTTAGATTTTAACTAATGGGCTTTAAATGTCCACAGAATTTGTTGTTAACAGTTAGATGCTAGTAATGCAAAAACGCTCAGAACATCATAGCAGGTGTTTTCCCATCAATCCAAATTTCCCAGGGGTAAGTCCGTCTCTAGGATCAATAGTCAAATCATCTTAAGACTTCCTATGACTTAACCTATCTAGTAACGCTCCTTAAAACTTCATTCTTCATCTTTTACTTTTTCATATCCAAATTTCCTCACGACTGGAGCATGAAAAATTCCCCAACTTTCTGCCATCAATCTCTTTTCCTTCTACTTTATTCTATCACCTGTCAGTTAAACCAGTTTTCTCTTCATTCCTTCAGCATGTTATACTGTTACTTTGATTCATTTCACCCTACCCAGAACACCTCTCCACCAGTCCCCAGCCTGTGTATCTTCACCTGCCTGGAATTAGTTCTCCCATAACATTGATGGCACTCACTGATGGTCAGTACTACTCAAATAAGCATGGGATTAGAAAAGATAGGAATGAAGTAGACACCAGGTTTGGCTTTATCTTTTTATTTTTGTCTCCCACTGCACCCAGCAAAGTTCTGGTCACCTACTAAATCTCAGAGGTGCTTCTTAATCGATTAATTTACAACAGGAATAATAAAATATATAAAATGAATTTTCACTGTGAAGAGCACCACAGTGTCTACACTTTTCCATAGTTAGTTTCAAGATGGCATTCATTGAATGAGGGCTGCAAATGGATTAAACAGTGGAAGCATTTAAATTGTCAGTTTTAATATGCACATTGTCATACCAATTTTGCTATTTTAACTGGTTTGCATGAATACAAATTCGCCTTTTAAATATCTAAACTTCCCTTTATAACATCAGGTAGTGTTTTGAAGATTAAATATTAAAAATAGCAAATGACAAGCAGAGTTTCCATCACGTATCATGAGCTGTTCCCTCTCTTTCCTGTAGCATAAGATTTTTTAACCAGGTGCGGTGGCTCACTCCTCTAATCCTATCACTCTGGAAGGCTGAGGCGGGTGGATCACCTGAGCTCAGGAGTTCCAGACCAGCCTGAGCAAGAGTGAGACCCCATCTCTACCAAAAATAGAAAAACTAGCCAGGGGTTGTGGCAGGAGCCTGTAGTCCCAGCTACTCACGAGCCTGAGCCCCAGGAGGATTGCTTGAGCCCAAGTGTTTGAGGTTGCTGTGAGCTATGATGACACCATGGCACTCTACCCAGGGTGACCAAGTGAGACTCTTTCTCAAAAAAAAAAAAACAGGTTTTTATCCCCTATTTCCTGGATCCTTCTCATTAGCATACAAGCATGCTGTAATTTTTCCATATCTCCGCCTTTTAAATAAAGTTTTCTTAATCACTAGCTACTGCAAAATACCTCAGTGGAATTCTGTTCCAATACTTCTCAGACTCCAGGATGCATATAAATCAGCTTGGAATCTTGTTAAAATTTAAATTCTTATTCAAAAGGTGTATTTTGCACGAACAGATTCTCCAAGTATATTTGGATGCAGTCGTGCTGGGTACCACTGAGTCAGGACCTTTCCTGTCACTGCAGTCAAGATGTCCTCGATTGCATCATTGCGTTCATCTCTTGGCTTGACTTGGGAGAATCCACTCCACATTCCTGCCCTCACGTTGCCAGGCCTCAGGTCTTTGCTTGCTGTTGGCCAAAGACATCTGTCCTTTGCAATGTGGACTTCTCCATAGGGCAACTCACAGCCTGGTTACTTGCTCCACGAGGCTGGTGGAGGGACAGGTGGCAGGGGAGAGAGGGATGGGGTGCTGGGGAGACAACAAGCAGGACAGAGCTAAAAATTCTTTTTGTAACCTAATCTCAGAAGCAAAATCTTATCGCTTTTATTATATTCTATTCATTTCAATCCAGCTCACACTCAAGAGGAAGGGATTACACGGGATATAAACACAAGGAATTGGGAATCAGTGGAGGGTCTATGTTAGAGCCTGGCTGCCTGCCACAGTATAATCGGGGGGGCTCTGAAATTCTGTTGAAATCCTAGGTGAAGCCAGTGTTCCTTATGGATTCTCTTGCTTTGAAAAGCCAGGGTCTACACTCCCTGCCTCTAGTTCCTTTCCTTCTGTAATTCTCTATTCATCATACTCTCTCCAGTCAGGCTTTACCACCGTCCACGCCACTGAAACCGCCCTTTTGAAGTTACCAAATGACCTCCACCTTACTAAATCCAACATTTAAAAAACTTGATCACTCTCTCTGCGAGTCTTTCTTTACTTGGCTTCTGGAACACCAAGTTTATATTTCTTCTCAGTCTCTGCTGCTCCTTACCTAGTTCCCTGACAATCAATGTTAGGGGCCCCCAGTCCACTCGTTGGACCTCTTTTATCTGGAGCTCCTGTTAACTCCTAAATGGTCTGCTCAGGCTCACAGCTTTACGTTCCAGATACATGCAAACCACTCTGAAGCTTATGTAGACTTTCCCCCTAAAGTCCCAACATATTTATCAAGTGCCTAAAGAACGCCCGTGGTTGGATATCTAAAAGTAAAGTTGAACTTAGTGAGTAAAACAGAACTCTGTGTTTGCACCCCTACGCCCACCCCCAGACCCCCAGCAGTCCTGCTTCCCATCCACGTTTACAAATCCAGTAAACACTGACACTCTTCACTAACACTCAGGAGCTAAGGTGAAGGAACTGGAACTCACCCTTGTGTGTTCTCCTATTCTCATTTATATGTCATTAAAGTTTCATCAGTTACATGCCTACATATCATTTGAATCTCCCTTTCACTCTCCATCCCAGTGTCACCACCTAAAAGTCCAAACCTTATTACCTATTATACAGATTTTTTCATCTATTTACTAGTTGATTACAGTTTCCAACCTCAAACCCAAGTGATCTTATCCAGTCTGGTTTCCACATTCACAGTTACCTTTATCCCATAGGATAAAATTTATATATTTATTTACTTCTTTCTTTAGCCAGAGTCTCACTCAGTTGCCCTGGGTAGAATACTGTGGTCATCATAGCTCACAGCTACCTCAGCTCTTAGGCTCAAGCCATCCTCCTGGTTCAGCCTCCTGAGTAGCTGGGACTATAGGCACCCACCACAACACCCGGCTAGTTTTTCTGTTTTTGGTAGAGATGGGGTCTTGCTCTTGCTTAGGCTGGTCTCAAACTTCTGAGTTCAGGTGATCCACTCACCTCAGCCTCCCAGAGTGCTGGGAGGATTACAGGCTAAAGTTTATATTTTTCATGTCGTTTGTAAAACTATACGTAATCCAGCACCTGACTCCCTCTTCCCTATTTTTACTCTACACCTCAGCAGTACAGGGACCAGGCTCTGCCATCCAACTTCCCTGTGACTCTACATCTTCATGAATATTGTTTCTCTGGCTGGAACACTCTTCCTTCCCTCTTTACCTGATGGCTTTCACTTAATTCCTGTGTCAGTTTAAACATGACTTTTTCCTGGAGGCAGTCTCTGACCTCTTGAGTAGGTTTGGCGAACCCACAGTGTAGTCCATAGCAGTAAGTACTTCCCTATCTTAACTGTCAGTATATTTCATAGTAATTATTTAATTATCTTTTTCACCTTTTAACCTGTAAGCTCTGGAAAGGTCAAATCCATGGAAGTAGATTCAGGTATTTTGAAGGCTGAAACATACAATTTGGGGGACCTTCTCTAGAATAAAAATACAAAGGTTTTATACACGTACACTTAGAAATGAAAGTGAGTATTGATCACAATAAAGTATAAACTTGAGAAATACAACAAATATAAAAATGTATGACAAATATAAAAATATAAAGTGAACACATTGCCAGGGGCCCTTTCTGGAAGCCCAAAGCTTAAATTCCTAGCACATCGACAACTGGATAATTAGTCTTTTTATTTCTAATGCTTAACACCCAGCATATCCTCTGTAAATATTTTTGAATGAGTGTATTAATTTAGGAAGAAAACTTCGCAATTAAGTTTATGATTTTCTAAGATAAAATCCTTTGGGGGAGGGGACACCATCTATTTTCAGTTTTATTTATGATAGACTTTTGTAAACATTTCTCCCAGGAATAGCCAAGATGACAATTTTTTTACATACCTTAAAAACCAGAAAAAGAATTTTACTGTGAATTCATCCACGTGATAATTGGATTTGAATCAAGACGGTATCGTAGCTTACCTTTAAAAGATAAGCACCTTTGCTTCAGTCTTGAGAGTTTGTTCAAATAAGTTTAGTTAAGTTCCTTTAAGGATAATGTGGTGAATTTGTTGAGGAGTTGCTGTGCTCGTATCAAGATGGTGTGTGTGTGTGTGTGAGTGCGTGTGGAGTGTGTGTGTGCGCGAGTGCGTGCTTGCAGCCCTCTGATCAATGCACACTTTTCTCCCCATTTTCATAAATACATCATGAAAAAAGGATGAGGTTTCCGCCTTAATTGCTTGTGCCTTTTATTCACATTCCTCTCTCAGCCAGAATTGTGAAAAGAGTGTTAGTAAAAGGCTGCACAATAGAGCTTTTCATTAGGCCCCAGCAAGGCACACAAAAGAAGGCTTTTGGAAAGAGTGAATGCATGAGTTTAATTTGCAGGTGGAGAGTAGATAAAAGGTGCTGACGCCTCTATTATTCTCTTACTTAGGTGACCCTTACCCTGTTCAGCTGATCCCAACTACCATGGCAGCTGCTGCCGCAGCAACACCGGGCTTAGGCCCACTCCAACTGCAGGTAAGTCAGGAGACAATCCCGAGGGGACAAAGGTTAAGTAAATGTAGAAAACAGCTATTATCGTGTTAAAGCAAAACAAAACTGACGAGTGATGTGCGGCACACACATTTTTGTTTTTAAGTTTATTTGGACTGATCCTCAACCAGAGGTTGAGATGTGGATTCTTTTCATCTTCAGCCCCGTTTTCTGTATTCGAGGTCATTTATTATAGGTTTGCTTTGCGCCTGATAGGATGTAAGAAAGTGAGCTGTGGATTTGCTTTGATCGCTGTGTGCCATAATTTTGTCACAGGATGGTCTCCAACGAGATGAAAAGAACAAAAAAATGCTGCAACAGATATTAAAACAGACACTTGTGGAGCGAGGCGACTTAACAAAATCTGCTTTTAGATTTGTTCAAGATACCCGGGATTATGGAAGCGCTTCGCAGGCCCCTTTGTTCTTTTGCTAATGCCAGTTCACTTGGTCAAGCAAGGCATGGTAGACTGAATCAGCAGGTGCCCCGAGGAGCATAACTTCATCTCTGACATCCGATTAATACCTTTTAGCCCTGTAGAGTATATATCCCCGTACACCCAAGAACGTCAGTGATGACTTTCCCAGATGTCCAAGTGATTTTAGAAATTTTGTCTTGGAGGTTAACAAGAGAATCAATGAAATTATAGTAAAGGTTGCTTTCATTAACCGTTTCCATTGTTGAGTCACATTTCACAAAGTGTTTCTGTTGTTATAGACCCTCTAATGATGTAATTACCAGGAATAGAAAATCACCCAGTAATAGGATTAATCTCCTCTGATGAAGATTTTCGTATGTTCCTAAGCATGCAATCCACAGTGTGCCTGTGAAGCCAGATATAGAGAAGTTGTGCTTAATAAAATTAAATTGTATTCATGAAAGTGCACTGTCAGGATAGATGATCCTAGTCTATAAGGAAACTATAGTTTTATATCGTAGCACTGAGGGACAGATCATCTGGTGCGCACGTGGGTTCGTCAGAAGACCCAGAGGGTTTCTGAGAGGCCAGTGGAGTTTCACAGGAGGAACTACCAGTGTTCCAGCTGAGACATACCGTGTTCTTACAGAGGTTAATAACGTTCATTTCTATTACATCTTGGCTACGAAAAACTACACTGCAAGTGTCTGTTTCTTTGAGTCAGAAATACCTTGGGAAGCGTTAGAGCCATGGGGACAATAAAAGTAACGTGACATTTGTTATCCTTTGAAACGGCACCTGGGGAATAACTATAACATGGAAAAGTGATTATAATAGATAAAACTAAAAAGAGTAATGGGATTGAAGCAAGGGAGAAGAATATCCCGCCATAGATCTGAATGTGGGAATGGGAGTTTTAGAGATTTAGTATGTCAGTTTTCAAAGCAAGTTAGACATTCTCCATTGTGGGAGAGTGAGAGGAAGTGAGGGCCGCTGGAGGCAACTGCTGTGTTTTACTGTACGACTCTTTACAGCTGTGCTAAGAACAATCTAACCTCCTTTTCCTACAGAGATAACATGAGAATATGCCATGCAAATTAAGTTTTATCCATTCTTATGTTAGCCGATCCTTGTGAGATTTCAAAATATTTAAAAATAATTATCTTTTGATATCACTAAACAAGAAAGACTTTGGATACCATACATTTTTCTTCTTTTAACTACAATTTGATCTGTAAATGAGATAAAGTTCCTTTTATGTAAATGGCATTATACACGTTAAAATTCATGAGTTTCAGTTGGGGTCTCAAACAAGCAACACTGTAGTGTAACAAGAAAATTAATAATCTCAAACTTTTTCATGGAAAGTCATGAGCTACTATTAAAGCACACTCACACAAACCCACATGCACTTTTTTGTTTGTTTGTTTGTTTGTTTGCAGCGGAAAAAAAAATTATTCAGATGCAGACACATTCCAAAAGCTTGCCAGGGCAGAGAATCTTTGACCTTTTTCCCCTCCACCCAAGTGAATTCCTGCTCACTTTGGCTAGGCAATCTCACTTTTCTACTTGTTCCTAACCCCAAATTCAGACTCCTGACCTTGATGTTGACCTTCTCTTGAGCTGCAAAGAATACTGGTTACTCTTCCTGGGGTGGCTCTTTAGCATCAAATTTCTGTTCTACTCCACGAATCTGATGGAATGGGTCAGAGAAAACCTAACTGCCATGCCTAGTCAGAAGTCTTACCATAGGCCTTACCCCAACTTCGCCCCAATCTTGTGAACATATTTTTGGAAAGTTTCATCCCAGTCAGGTGTGAGTTCTAAGCCAGTTTTAATTTTCTCCAAGTTCAGCTCTGTTAAATCTTTGTTTTCCATCTCATAATAGTACCTGAGTAGACTCCATTGCTTCCTGATCCTTTCAGTTAAGATTCAGTCCTACT